ATTGTGCTGGCGATCTCCTGTCTATCACGCCCTCGTCGATAAATCAAAATGTCACCAGCAAATGACAAAGTCCTTCCCTTTCCATTCAACTGCTGCTCAGTGATCATCACCGTATAAACGTTGAATAAGACTGGTGATAGCGGTGATCCCTGTGGCAAGCCTGGACATATCGTTTGCGGTTCTGGGGACCAGCTACCACATCTGAGTACAATCTTTCTCTGGAACAGGACCGCAGCAATCCAGCGGAGCAGAATAGGATTGACTTCTAGTTTAAGCAGTAATTGCATTAAATAATCATATGGTACTTTATTGTAGGCATCTTCTAAGTCCAACACTGCCGCACATGTCTCTTCTTTAATCTGAAATCCCTCGTACACATCGTAGGCGAAAAACTGCAGCATTGAACCATGTCTCTTTCTTCAACCTGTACCCCTCCAAGTGTTTGATGGGAACTTATAATGTAGTTCCAAGTAGGTGGTCAATCTTTGTGCGACAATTTTTTTCCAAAAGTTTGCCAACAGTATTCTGCATCGAGATGATTCTGTAGCCGCAGATCTTTGAGTGGTCTTTATTAGGCTTTGGTAGTGGGAACAAATAACTATGGAGCCATTCCTCTTGTATCTGGCCACTCTGGATGATGATATTGAATTCCTTTGCTACGCTTTTCAAATCAGCATTCGACATCATCAGCATGTCATTGTATCGGATGCCGTCAGGGCATGAAGCAGTGCTGCGCGATTTCTTGAGGCAAGTTCTTAAGGTGTCTGCAGTGATTGTGAAATCAGTGCCTAGCTCAGTGTTCTCGCACAGCATCGACAGTTTCATCTTAACCCCTATTCTTGCAGCTTCGTCTTTTTGGTTAGTTTGCTCCAAGTAGCGCGCAAGAAGGGTTTTTCCTTTATCAGCATCAGTTCTCTGTCATATCAGGTCTGTACCCTGAAAATAAGGGATACCCCTTGGTCGTGCGGCGCCGTGCATGCTACGTTGAAGGCGCCAGAATGTCACAAGAGATCCCTCGGAGCAAACGCTCTTGCAGAATTCGTTCCATTTCGCTGTCTTGGCTTCTTTCGCAATTAACTTGAAAGCCACTGTCCGCTTGTTGACCTCATCTTTCAGACTGATCAGGCGTTCAGAAAGTGACGGATCAATTTTCCTTGCCTTTTGCCATGCCTTGACAGCGTTCCTTTTTTCTAGCCACGCCATTTTGACTACTTCATTCCACATATTCCTTGAGTATGAAAGTACAAGAGGCGGGAGAGCTGTCGAGAGACCGAGTTTCTTTCAGGCAGACTGTGATGACAGCGACGTTCTGCAAAGGACCCACTACATGATGATGATGATTCTACATTTAACTTCGCTAATACATCTTCCACCCGATGTTATCAGGGCACCCAAGTACTTGAAAATATATGTCAACTTGCCTGAGATTTGTCCATTTACTTTGATGTTGCATTTCAGAGGATCAGTTTTTCTTTGCATTACCATTACTTTTCCTTTATGTTTGTAGTTTTTTTATTAATTGCTTTAGTTGTTCTCCATCTTTTTGTATCATACAACAGTAATGATTTCACATTAGAATTAAACATTTTTAGTTTATTATCATTATCTTTGTCTTTCCTTTATGGATTTTCTGACCAAGCTGTTGTGATCTCACATCAAGTACATTTAATTTATCTTGCACCTGATTATGTGAGTCGGACAGAAGAGAAATATCATCAGCAAAGTCCAGATCATCAAGCTGTTTTGTAGGGGTCCACTGAATTCCATTCTTGGTGTTAGCAGTTGCTGTCTTCATAATCCAGTCTTTTGCCAGAAAAAATAGGAAAAGCAACAAAAGACATTCCTGTGGACATTTGCTTTTATTTTAAATATGTCTGTTAGCTTTCACTCATTACTAAAAACTACAAATATTCATTAACTGGTGCGTGTGCAGAAAACAAGGAATTAATAGGCATGATAGAATCACTTAACTAGAGCTTTGGGAGTGAACCAAACAAGTTCCGGTGGACCACGAGGTGAAGAATAGATGCTGGCATTGTACAGGACATGCACTGAGAAAACCTGAGAACAATATAACTAGAATGTCTTTGCACTTGAACCTACAGAGGCATAAAAAATAAAGGAAGACTAAAAAATATATGGAGAAAGGAGATAGTGAAGTTAAAATGATGGGGAGGACATGAGGTGATGCATGCTATAGCGAAGGATAGAACGACTTGGTGTGAGTTGGTGAGGACCTATGCTCCATCGGGGGTTAGAAAGGCAGAAGAAGGAACACCATTACTTCTGTCTTTCTGCTGTTCAAACTTACTTACTTAGAAGCTCCTCTTCTAACTTCGGGGGTAGAGGTTTGCCAGAGAGACTACCAGACTTTTCTGGTGTAGAGGTTTGCCAGAGATCACTAGACTTTTCTGGTGTAGAGGTTTGTCAGAGAGATCACCAGACTTTTCTGGCGTAGAGGTTTGCCAGAGAGATCACTAGACTTTTCTGGTGTAGAGGTTTGCCAGAGATCACCAGACTTTTCTGGTGAGAGGTTTGCCAGAGAGATCACCAGACTTTTCTGGCGTAGAGGTTTGCCAGAGAGATCACTAGACTTTTCTGGTGTAGAGGTTTGCCAGAGAGATCACTAGACTTTTATGGTGTAGAGGTTTGCCAGAGAGATCACCAGACTTTTCTGGCGTAGAGGTTTGCCAGAGAGATCACTAGACTTTTCTGGCGTAGAGGTTTGCCAGAGAGATTACCAGACTTTTCTGGTGTAGAGGTTTGCCAGAGAGATTACCAGACTTTTCTGGTGTAGACGTTTGCCAGAGAGATGGCCAGACTTTTCTATCAGCAGTTTTCTTTCTGGCTTTGTTCCATTCCACTCCTCTGTCAGTCAGGGACTGTCGGGTGTTGTCTTCCCAGCAGACCCTGGGTCGCCCTGGAGTTCTGGTTCTTAGTCTCCCATGCCTGCCATGGTGGCTGATTTTCTATTATTCTGCATATATGTCCAAATCATCTTATCGATGACTGGTCCACTCAGGTTTGTAAGGCCTGAGTTTCAAGATTTTGACATATTGTTTGATTGTGGACTTTATTCCTTTTTGTCACTTGGACCACCTTTCTCAGCTATCTTATTTTTGAGACCTGAAGCTAGCTTTTGTGAGCTTTTGTCACTGCCTATGACCGACACCCATAGGTCAGGACTGGCACACAGGTAGAGCGGTAGACATCAAACTAACCTTTAGTGTAATTATAGTAAATTCAAAAATTGACAGGCCACTGTTAGATCCAGCTTACTTGTATGCAGACTGTTGGTTCTTTGCCTCTCAGGCACATGTGCTCTAACTTCAAAGAAAACTCAGTCACCTTGTAGGACATGCTTGTAAGAGAGGAAGTGGGACTATTATCGTTTCCTCCAGAATAGGGTACTGGAACCCACACAGGGAAGATGACTGACCTCACTGCACCAGATGTGATCAAATAAGGCTCAGTCTCTCTCAGCAGAGAGAATACAGTTGGTTCGTTCATTCAGCAGAATGGCTAGCCACCTGCCAATAGCATTGCACAAATCTCAAATTCCATTTCTGTGGTGTGACGTGAGCATCTTCAGCCACTGTTGATAATGATTTTCAACTGGTGTTTCTTCAAAATATATGCCACTATCAAAATGAAACAAATCAACACTACATAAAACTGCAAGTACATTTTATTTCGTAATTTCATGTACAGATATGATGAACACATGACAGAAAAAAATGGCTAAAGATTGTGGACTTTTGTTCATAGCAGGGAGCCACGACAGCCAGCATACTAGCTGCAAGGACTGGTGGTCAGTGGTTTGAATCCTAATCGAGGCAAACTTTAAAGATGTGTCTCTACTAAAATGGTTGCAGAAAGTTTTATGGGATGTAAAGGTAGCATGCATGTTAATGATTACTGTATACTATTACAGGACTGCAAAATGACACTACGTGAGGGGAGATGACAATGTACGTGAGGTGAGATGACAATGTACGTGAGGTGAGATGACAATGTACGTGAGGTGAGATGACAATGTCCAAGAGAAACCATAAGGTGAATGTTGATGACAGAAACCAAAGGTGCCTGACTGGATTCAGTCCATACAAGTTTTTGCACAGGATAGAAAGAATGGAAAAAATAGACTGCAAGCCATATATGACACACGATGGTTTAGTAGGACAACGTGTGTTCCGGGAGTTGAATAAATGAACTGGAAAAGGGGGGGGTGTGTGAAAATATGTGTTTTGATTATTTTCACATGAAGAGATCTATGATTTAACAAATGTGTCTCACATTGAGATTGATTCAGCAACAACAATATGAAAACAGTCTAAAAGAATCAAAGTCAGGAGGACTGACTTCATTGCACTGGGTTTTATCTTATATGGTTCAATCTCTCTCTACAATACAGCTGGATACTTGTTTAAGGCACAGGCTCCACAGTTCATCGATCCCAAGGAATCTCCGTAACAACTGCATTTGTGAACTGAACCACACATTCCGTAAAACAAAGCCATGACCTCCAGAGCATGGGGCTTAACCGTTTAGCCAATGAGGCTATCGTATAATTATAATATCAACTTTCCAATAACAGAATGATTGAACAAAAGCTGAGGGTCTCATATAACAACAACATCAACTCTCCAGTAATAGAATGAGTGGACAAGAGCTGATGGTCCCACACAACAACAACATCAGCTCTCCAGTAATAGAATGAGTGGACAAGAGCAGACAATACAAAGATGGGCGGAGTCATCAATGGTAACAACACAACAACACTGCCCGATTACACAGATAGTCACCTCTACATTAACAGTCGCTGATTACCAAACAGTCTTCTAAAGACATACATAATACATGACAGTTATAGTATTTTCACCCTGTAATGTATGCACAAACAAAGAATGACTATCATTGATTTATGCTCTGTAATCTGACTTCACAAACATTATTTTTAAAAAAAATACTTTTCAACAATCTGGCATACCCAAAGCAAATCATTCATTTCGCAACTTGGACAACAAGATTTCATTCTTGCGGCACTCTTCCTTGAAATCTTTCACAGTTTTAAAGTACAGCCTTTGTTTCTCTATCAGGTCTAAATGCTGGTCACTCAACTGATCGCGTTTCATTTTCTCCTCTTGTCGTTTTTTCTCAGCCTGCATAGAGATAAATGAATGATGTAAGCAAAAACTTATACATCAGTTTTAAGACAAGAAGATGAGATGAAAAGATATCACAGAAAATGAAAAGTAGAAACAGTCAGTTTTGTATTATCACAAACATAAACGACAAGTAAACGTTGCGGATAGAGTGCCTCCATTAGCACATTATATCAATACACAATACCACAAATATAAACAAAAATACATAAAATCACTTAATTGAAGTATCTCAGAATGTTGAACGCTGAATTAAAAATCGACATCACAGCACTCAGGACACTCCCATAAGTGCTCCGTCCACATCTTTAGCAGCAAGCGAAGAGTTCCAATTCGGAGGGTACCAGTAACCGTCTCATTGTAGTATATTCATCTCATCCTTCCCCTGAGTGTTGAGCAACGGCCAGATCCCCTGGTAACTCCTAGCAGCGCCATACTCCTGAGACCGTAATGATCTCCTCACTGTTCACTCGCTCCTATAGGGCCTCACAATATCTAACAATACTCTAACCAAGTGGTGGAAAGCCAGCTAGTCTTATCTGCCTGCTCATTTCCCAACACACCCGCATAACCTGTAGAAAATATCCAAAGGAGGCTAACTATCCAGGACCTCTGAAGTGATGTCTGCCACTCTGCATGAAGCATGCCTGTTTTCACCTTTTTCAGTATGCTCTGTGAGTCAGTTACTGCTAGGAAATGTGTGTACAGCTGATTCTCCAGCCAGCGAAAGGCAGCAGAGACTGCCTGCACCTCCATTCTCCAACTAGTAGTTGTGATTTTAAATGCAAGGCTTTGCTGCACTAGGCGACGTCCATTCATCTTTAATATGAACCCCCATACACTTCATCTGCTCCTCAACACAGAGCCATCTGTAGAGATTATCACATGACCTGGGCGGTAATCGTCATGAATCATTCATTGAACTTCTGATTCTGCATCACCAGTTGGTCAGTCTCTGCACTCACAACCTAACGGGATTAGAACCCTACACAAGTCTGAAACTTGTTCGGAAACCTTGACCCACTCCTCTCCTCGCTCAAAATTATCAAGCCTGCACACATGTCTGATTGTGTCTTCAGCTTGTGCCATCCAAGATGTCTTTGTTTTGTTCTGTTTAACTAAACACTTTGTACAACATACCTCTGCTTTGTTCTGTTTAACTTTACACTTTGTACAACATACCTCTGCTTTGTTCTGTTTAACTTTACACTTTGTACAACATACCTTTGCTTTGTTCTGTAACTATACATACTTTGTACAACATACCTCTGCTTTGTTCTGTTTTAACTTTACACTTTGTACAACATACCTATGCTTTGTTCTGTTTAACTAAACACTTTGTACAACATACCTCTGCTTTGTTCTGTTTAACTTTACACTTTGTACAACATACCTCTGCTTTGTTCTTTTTAACTTTACACTTTGTACAACATACCTTTGCTTTGCTCTGTTAAACTATACACTTTGTACAACATACCTCTGCTTTGTTCTGTTTAACTTTACACTTTGAACAACATACCTCTGCTTTGTTCTTTTTAACTTTACACTTTGTACAACATACCTTTGCTTTGCTCTGTTTAACTATACACTTTGTACAACATACCTTTGCTTTGTTCTGTTTAACACCCTCCACAATCTGTTCAAACTGCTTGAGGAAAGTCTCCTTATTGGCAGCAGAAGACATTGCCCTGGCAAGGAAAAGAGAATCTGCTGTTGCTCATCTGCTAAAACTTGATAGATTTGTCTTTCCTATTTTTGTATCATAAATCTTCCTCTTCTTCATTCCACTGTGTTGTGGTTAAAACTAGGCCTTGATATCTATGCATTCTAGCACGACACTTCCGATTTTAGTAAAATAGTAGCCTTTTAGGACATGCTCATTAGGGGGCGGTAGGCCTACACATTATGCTCCCACAATAAACAGGACCTGGTAACCCACACAGAAATTTCAAATTTGATTATTATTTGTTCTCAGAAGCTTAAAAAAATTGTTTCTACAGCTGAACACTTAACAAAGAAATGTATAACTCGTCATAACACCCTGCATAAGGTTGAATATTCAGACTTTTTCCTATAAGTTCCTCCCTATTCCTCTCAAGCTATGAAAACATGTTCATATTAACAGAATTTGTACTAACTGAGACTAACAGATGGATAGCCTATCCCTGCAGGGACCGAAACTGTGTTCATGTAAACCAAATGTTTTCTTAAGCAAGTTTTTACAGTAGTAAATAATTTGAAAAAATTAATAATTTTCCAGAAGTTAAGCATCTAAACAGATGGGTCACATCAAATGGAAGATCTATCATAGGGATAAAGAACAGAATAAAACGAGTAAAAGCTGCACTTTATGAAATAAAAAATATCTTATACAATAAATATTTCTCAACCAGGTGTTAGAAAAATCATTCTTGCAAATTACAAACTTGTTTCCACATATGGCTGTTTGTTTGTTTATCATGTTCAGAGGCTGTTAACTCTGGCAGAAAGTGCCAAAAAGTGCTGGTTTATTCTTTTCTGGAGCTTGGCTTTGTTTGTTCCGGAAGTTAAGTTTTGCATGTGCGTCCATTATACAGATCTTTGCTGTCTGTTGTTTCCTTGCCTAATAGGCAGATGCACTCTAGCAAGAGCTGTGTATCCTGGACAATTAGTGATCAAGCATACGCAGAAAATCTCTTAAGCCTTCTGAGATGTAGTTTTGGAGAAGAATGCATTAAATGATGATTTAAACAAAAATTGTTAAAACATGTACTTACTGTTGAAAGTTGTCGTGTATAGAATTCAGGAGTTGAACCTAAAAGAAATTATTATTTATATGTCAATTTATCAACCATATAAAAGTAGTTTAAAGAATTAAAACATTATTTGTACCATTATGTTGTTAACAACTCTGCTGCTAGTAGAAAAGTGACTAATTCAGCCATGTACGATTTACCATGGTAATCACTAATAACATTTGTAATAAATGATTTACTTTTAAAATCACTTTCAGTAACACTTCTTAAATTTGAAAATTCATAAATTTCTAAAACAAATTCACGATGACACACTCCACATAGTAAACCATTCCTGTCTGCACAATTCGGACCACTGTACACATTTAGCTCATGCACACGCACAAATAAACTGATAATTATTACTTTCAAATGTCAAATTTTACACATCAAAATTCTGATTCTATCTTCCATCCATTTTATGGTCAAATGTGAAGGAATATCTTAAACTGACTGGGATATAGCAGTCTTCCTCTTCTTTGATCCTTGTGTCAAAAAATTGACATCAGGAGGCCGGCTGCCTTAATGAAAACTATCATTTAGTTCCAAAACTTGCTGTGTACAATACAGCTTTGTCTTGATAGATGTTTGAACACACCAGACTGCTTCTCTGTTGGCAGTATACAGTTAAGTGCTGCAGCACATGCCCAGCATTTGTCCACATGTTCAGAAACAGAGGTGAAACTAACAAACATCTTTATGATATCTTCATGACAATATGAAACAGGCAGCTATTCTAATACTAATCCTTAAAAGTGGAATTTTTCTTCTTTCTTCTGAGTGTTCACTAGCTGTAAATTCTGGCACAAAGTTCTGGGTTTTTTCCCCATCTAGTTATGGACTTTGGTCTTGTTTTGGAACTTGTGTTTTGTTTGCACATTTGTTTTACAGATCTGGCTTATTTGCATTCAGACTGTTGGTTCCTTCCCTCTCAGGCAGATGCACTCTGACTTTGAGAAAAAAACAGGCATAATAAGTCACCATGCTTGTTAGGGAAGTGCTGCGTCTATTCTTATTTCCGCTGATTATGGGGCACTGAAAAGCATAGGAGAAACATGTCGAATTATTTTTTAAAAAAATCCTTCCTTGAATGTAAAGTTGTCATTATTCATATAATATATTCCATCACATATCGTCTTTGTGTCCTAGACAACTATAGAAAGAACTAAATTGTTGCCGTCTGTTTCAACAAAAACAAACGGTACAGTAGGCATGTCAAACTGAGGGACCCTCCAGGACCATATGCATCAAATTTTGTTGTCTTGAGAGCCGAACACAACAAATAAATGACTTCATTTAATAAAAATTATTGCAGAATATTCATTTCCTTTGTCCGGGCACCAAGTGTAGTTGCAAAGGGCCGCATGTGGCCTTTTGGCCGCCAGTTTGCATGCTGTACAGCACCTTTATCAAAACACAGCCTATTGGCCGCCAGTTTGCATTCTGTACAGCACCTTTATCAGAACACAGAACACATACTTCCCAAGAAATCAAATATATCTTCAAGTTAAATATGTCAGCAAAAAGCTGCAAATATTGAAGCCTTTACTGAAAGAAGGCACAACATAACAAGCATTCTTTAGTGAGAGAACATGAAAATTGAATGCACCTTGGCAGCTTTAGTTGAGACACAAAAACAAATCCTCAAAACAATCAACTTCTGTTGTTCATGAGAAATATTTCCTAAATAGAAACAAAAAATACTGAGATTAGTAAAATAAGTGATGCAATTTAACACTTTATTTAGTAATGTGCATATGGTTGGTAGCAGTTGAAACAGTGTTACCTCTTTATTTAAGTAAGTCTTGGTATCTTCCAGTGTGTTGTAGAGAGTATAGAACTGCTTGGTTTCTCTGTGTTTAGATGCCACTGGTTACAAAAAATCAACATGAAACTTAAATCACACATGATAAGAGTTGAAGGTTTGCTTCAAACATCAGACAAATCAATATTAACTGAAGAACGAGATCACATACATCAACAATTGAGGTTAGCTCTATGCAGAGAAATCAATATTAACTAGAGTTAATAAAACAAGTTAACACTTGAAGGCTACATCTTCACCTCAGAGAAATCAATACTAACTAAAGTTAATAAAACAAGTTAACATTTGAAGGCTACATCTTCACCTCAGAGAAATCAATACTAACTAAAGTTAATAAAACAAGTTAACATTTGAAGGCTACATGTTCACCACAAAGAAATCAATATTAATTTAAGTTAATAAAACAAGTTAACATTTGAAGGCTACATATTCACCTCAGAGAAATCAATGCTAACTAAAGTTAATAAAGCAAGTTAACATTTGAAGGCTGCATCTTCACCTCAGAGAAATCAATACTAACTAAAGTTAATAAAACAAGTTAAAATTTGAAGGCTACCTCTTCACTTTAGAGAAATCAATATTAACTAAAGTTAATAAAGCAAGTTAACATTTGAAGGCTATCTCTGCACTTTAGAGAAATCAATATTCACTAAAGTTTATAAATCAAGTTAACATTTGAAGGCTACCTCTTCACTTTAGAGAAATCATTACTAACTAAAGTTAATAAAAACAAGTTAACATTTGAAGGCTACCTATGCAATTCAGAGAAATCAATATTACAAAAGAACAAGATCACATAACATTAACAAATAACATTCCCTACACAAAGAAATAAATGTTAACTCAAGAAGATAATCCCACTAGTCAACAATTGCAGCCTAGCTCCAAATAATGGAGCAATCAATGTTAACTAAGAAAGATAGTCACACTAGTTAACAACTAAGGCTAACCCATGCAGGACAATTAATGTTAACTGAAGAAGTGTATAAACACATTAATGAATGATAATAGCAATAGACAGAGAAACCAATGTTAACTAAAGGAGAAAAATCACACGTGTTGAATAACTTAACTCTAGCCCTTCACATTAGGGAAATCAATTTTTAACTGCAGAATAACATTTAAATTAAAATGTGTGCCATTTTCGTACTGAAGGTTGGCTGCAGAGTACCCACTGCTGTTTTGGGGAATATTATGTAGTGAGTTCCCAATGTCTTCCGTGATGCAACATTTGTACTTCCTGTACAAATGTCACAAGAAACCATCTAACAGGCAATTGAAGATTGTGATATAGCGTAATAACTTTTAAGGCCAAGAGCAGTCACACACAAAAATCATACATTTTAACAATTGAGGGCTATTTTTATACAGAAAAATATTGACTGAAGCCAGTCTATACATAACACTGCAGAAGATAATTCTTGGTTTTAATTCTTAAAGAAGCCAGCCTTTCAATTTGTGTCACCAAAATGATCTGATAATAGTGTGGTAGCATCAAACCTAAAGGTTCCTATACAAATTCAGAAGCTTCCTATACAAATTCAGAAGCTTCCTATACAAATTCAGAAGCTTCCTATACAAATTCAGAAGCTTCCTATACAAATTCAGAAGCTTCCTTTACAAATTCAGAAGCTTCCTATACAAATTCAGAAGCTTCCTATACAAATTCAGAAGCTTCCTATACAAATTCAGAAGCCTCCTATACAAATTCAATAGGTTCCTATAAAATTAAGATGGTTCCTCTAGAAATTCAGTTTTATAATGGAAATTCTCAGCCACACTTTATTCTTCAATCTGTACATTTTGTTTTTTTAAATTATGTGCAATAAAGGTTGGCTACTTTATACTCAATGCTAAGAACGGTGCTGTAAGGAGTTACCAGGGGATCTGGCAGACGCATAAACACTCAAGGGAAGGACGAGACGGATACACAATCAACAGTTACTGGTGCCACCGGAATTGAAACTCTTTGTTTGCTGCTGGAGATGGGGACGGAGCGCTTATGGGGGTGTCCCAAGTGCTATGATGTTGACTCTTAATTCAACATTCTACTCAATGCTATATTTAGGATTATTATATGCGGAGACCCCAATCTCTTCCACAGTGCGACTCTCCTACTGTTATCCTAAACCCACTAAACCCACTTAAGACAGCAGTGGGTACACTGTAGAAAAACTTAATTGTGAACACGGCACACAATCTATGTTAATTATATGTTAAAACACCATTATAATCAAATGTCGCTATAAGAATTTGACTGTCTTTATTTTTGTTTGCAACATCCATCCTGTCCTTTGTAATTAGATTTAAAAAAAATTATCATTTACTATTAATTTCTTCTTATTCCTATAATGTCTTAGAGAGGGTGATTTATTTTTAATGGTTACAAGTTCTGGTATTATAAATGTACTGTTATACTAATCAATACATCCATTATGTCGTAGGTGACACATGCAGTTGTTCACCAGCTGTTGTGTTCTTACATACTACCTCTTCTGTCCAAGTACAGGTCCCTTTACATGCCAGTGGTGTATCGTGCTAATGAGGGTGACTCATATTCTTTTTATAGAATTATCAGTTGCCTTCACTTCCCAGGACTTTTACCTGGTACTCATTTAAGGTTGGGTCAACCTGGGAGCCATGGTCATGTTTTAAAAAAAAAAATTGTTTCCTCAATCTTTGGGTCATCAGGCAAGCATCTAGCCACTATATCACAGCAGTTTCCTTCTTCTTTTGTACTTGCCCTTAAAAGAGCACCTGTGTTGTGGTTTACAGCTAGGCTACAATATCTGCACCTTTTGGCCAAACACATCCAAGCTAACCCTTAATTAGTCGCCTTTTACGACGTGCTTTTTACGGACCCCAGAAGCCACAAACATAGTTGTGTGAGAATACCTGGCATACAGATTACTGAAAACAGAATTGATATCACAGCATAATGGGAATACCGATCAAAACCATTCCTATTGGTACCTTGATTATAAAGTTCCACAAAGCGGCGTTGGTACTGACTCAGTTCTGCTCGAGAGGGAACCTCATCAATCTTTCTCTGCAGTCCCGCAATCTCTCGGTTTTTCTTTGCCTGAATAAAAACAAACAAAAAATGTGTTGTAGTCAAGGGTAAAGAAGTCCAATATACAAAGAGAAGAAATACAATCCGGGAATAAAGCATACTGTGCCCTACAACATTTGCTATAAAAATGCTCTCATAACATCAAGATAACCATTTATAACATACTGGGGAAAAAAACGTCTAATACAGTAATGAAACTTGGAGCACAACTGAACAAGATGAAGCTTTATTACAAACTTTTCATAACAGTCTAAAGATAAATCTTCAGACCCATCAAAGATGCAAACAGCTGACAACTCTTCTTCTACTTCACATTCACCAGCTGTAAGCTCCTGGTTGTTTGTCCACTTCTGAATCTGAGTTTTGTGTGCACATCTATTTTACAGATCTTCCATTTAGATATGCAGACTGTTGGTTTCTTGCCTCTTAGGCAGATGCACTCCAGCATTGAAGCATTGAAGGAAACCCCTAATAGACTCTTACATGCTTTTTAGGGAAGCAGTGGGTCTATTTTTTTTCCTCTCTCACAGCAGAGACTTAGAACCCACATGGGAAAGCTGAGAACAGGGAGTTAGAAGCAACCACAAAATTCATAATCTGATGAATCGCAACCAATTACTGGCATCATGAGGGCTAACAGACTGCAATAATCAGGGCAGATAACAAAGAGACAAAAACTTCATTCACAAAGGAGCTGACCACAAGGCAGACCCAGAGAATAGCGGAGATACAACAGAAGTAAAATTTTTTTTTTTAAACATAAAGACCCTTTTTACAACTATGCCACATCAGGCATATAATTCTAGTCTTTTTTTTTTAAATATATATATATATATATATATATATATATATATATATATATATATATATATATATATATATATAAACCAATCGGCACTCAATGGGTGATTTGGTCAATATCATGCGAGCTGCATTTACTTCCCGGCACATTACCTGGTAGAGTGGCCATTGTGTAGCATCTAGACGTTCACCTGCAGATAGAAAGGTCACTGGTTCGGGTCCTGATGGAGCCGGACTTTTTTTTTTTAAATGACCTTGGCTCCCAGGTCAACCCAGTCTTGAGTGGGTCCCAGGTGCAGTCCTGGGAAGTAATGGTACTCATTTCAGGTTGGTCGACCTGGAAGCTAAGGTACTTTCTGAAAAAAAATGTGTCTCAGAGCAGATATAAAGAAGCAAAGTAGGCTTTATTTAATGGCATAACACTTACTAGCAATAGCCGAATCTTGTGTAGCTTCTCCTTGTCAGCAGTGTATTGTTTGTCTATAAGGTTGACCCTTTCCTGAAATGGAAATTTGATAAAAGCATGAGAGGCTTGCTTTATACTGACTGTCACATCCATCAAAGTTATACAGTTATCAGGGATATGTCCTTGATAGTGTAAACCTTATTTACCTAAGACTAATTTTTTTAGCAGGAGAAAAGTGAACAGGTGAGGGGGGAGGGGAGGTTGACCGATGTGCAATGCTGATGGAACACACAGGCAAACTTTCAAACTTTTAATCAGGCAGCAACTGGCACTATTAGCATGGGAACTATTGGCTACTGAGATAGGAGACGGAGCATGTGTGGGAATATCCTGAGTGCAGTGATGTCAGTGTCTAAGCAGATTCACTAATCTCTGAGTATTTTCAAAAAAAATATTGGCGATCTGTCTACAAACTTTGATGAAGATGACAGACAGTATGGAAGGAAAGAAAAAAAAGAGGGTGTTGGGGGGGGGGGGGGGGGGGGGGGGGGGGGAGGGCAAACCATGTTATCAAACATAAATGGTTAAAGAGAGCAGAGAGTCTACTCTTTGTCTGCCCTAAACAATTAAAACCTACATGAGAATGATGATTTCTTACAGACAAATGGTCTGATCAAAAGTTTTCTAACTGAAAGAACAAAAACAAATTCAAAGCAATGTCTTACCTTATCCTCTGTGTCCAACTTATCGAAAGCACACACACAAAAATTCAAAGGAATGTCTTAACTTATCCTCTGTGACCAACTTATCGAAAGCACACACAAAAAATTCAAAGGAATGTCTTACCTTATCCTCTGTGTCCAACTCATCTCCTTCTTCTTTCAATTTCTCTATATTTTCTTTCAGCTTGGCCATCTCCTCCTGTAAAGGCACCAAGCAATATCACTTAATTCATTTATGTACCTAAAGATGTAGCACTTAAATCTATTTATATTTTAAAACAAAAACAGCTCCTAATTTTGTTTCTTAACTCTAGTGTTACCTTCCCTCACTGTGTGTGGGAATGTGTATACAGAGGTACCTCATCTTGAGAAACTCTACACTTGAGAATTTTTGCCAGATTCAAATCTTTTTTCATGTCCCATTCTGACCCCTACATGTAGACACAGATTAGAGATCAAAGCCAAGATGTGAACTTTGAGATGTGAACTTTTTGAGATACCAACCACAGTCAGGAATCAATTAAGTTCATTCATTGAGGTACCACTGTAAGTGGATATGTTCATGTTTGTGTGGATGTGTGTGGATAATGTGTGTGAGAATGTGTATGTTATGGATATGTTTGTGTTGATATGTGTGAGAATGCACATATTTGGAAATGAAATGTTTGTGTGGATGTGTGTAGGTAGGTGTGGATGTGTGTAGGTAGGTGTGGATGTATTTGTATGGATAATAAAGGGTATTTTTGTGAATATTTGTGTGGATGTCGGCGTCTGTGGCTAAGCCGTAGCGAATGCGCTTCGTAATGCCAGGGTGCCGGGTTCGATGTCAGCTGCGGGCACTGCATTGGTTTCGATAGTGGCATCAAGAAGCCGACCGTCCAGAAAGCAATGGCAAACTACTTGATGTAAATTTGCCCCCCAAAAAACCACAACAGTACAAAAGTGCTGGGGTTGGTTCTGCAACGTCCTGCAAAGGATACGCAACTATATGTGTGGATACTGTTTGTGCATTTGTGTTTCACAGAATTGGGCTCACTGCACATAGTACCACTATAATTTACTCAGTGATCTCATTTCAAAACTTCATAAACTCAGTAGCTGATCTGCAAGAATGATGAGTGATCTGGCTTAGTGATTGAGTGAGTGATTGAGGTGAGTTGAGGTGGAGTGGTTTGTAGTGGGGTGGCGTGGCGTGTGTGTGTGATTGTGTGGATGAATGTGTGTGTGCAGTTGTATGTTTGTGTGTGTCAATGTGTGTGGAAGTGTGTATGTTCTGATCTGTGCTGTGTCTTTCGCCAGGCAGGATTAATTGTTCTTACATAAGATAATAAGACATTACGTATTCAGACTGCTGGTCTTGGCTGTAAAATGGTCAAATCTGCTATCAAAGTTCTGGTCTGATCTTCTTTTCGGGCATATTACTGACTGCTTCTTCCTAAAGTTGATACTGTGTGTCACTGGTCACTGTGTCTGACATCGCTTTTTGCTGTGTGTACTACCAAGCATTTGTTCATACTGATATCCCATCTTCAACTGTCATCTTCTGTCTTGGTCTCCCTCAACCTCTCTTCCCCTCTTAACATTTCAGCTGTCATGATATACTCCAGTAAACACTTCTTATATGTTTAAAAAATGTGAACACCACTTTTGATGCAACTAACTCTGCATTATTTCAAATATCTTTATTACAATTTTTTTTTAAATCTGTTCATAATGTTATCAGCACTAGCTCAGTCACTTCTTACCTCAGTCAAGTCAAACTAAACTGAAACAAACTATAAAGCATTTATTTAACTCAGAATAGATGAGAACATGAAATTCAATCAAGTCAAACTAAACTGATAACTCAAACTATAAGACATTTTTTAAAACTCAGGATAGATGAGAAAATGAAATTCAATCAAGTCAAACTAAACTGCAAACAAAAACTATACAGCATATCTTTGCCTCAGAATAGATGAGAAATAAATACATTCATACCTTGCACTGAGCCTTGAATTCCTGCTCTTGTTTCTTGAGATTTTCATTCATGGCCACAAGGGCCCTCAGAGTTTCAATAACACTGCAAGCAAAGTTGTGACAGTAAGATATATCATTGATTACTAAAATTGTGGCAAATCGCCACACTTCTGTTTTGATTACCACAGCTATATTCTAAGTACACAAGTTTTCTTCTGACAAACAAAAGCTATGTTCTAATTGTAAAAGTGCTTATTGTCTAACTAAGGATAACAATCAAAATTTTTAACATAAATGCAGAATCACTAATTATATATATATATATATATATACATATCATCATCAAGTGCCTTGCCAGCTGGTGTAGGCTTTCATGCATCTCCACAGATCTGGGTCTTTGGTGTTCTGGATCAATTCCACTGATGATATTCCCCCATGCCACTGTCTTAAGCCATCCATCATCATTTCTCTTAGTCTACCTCTTCCTCTTCTACCAGGGGTCATTCCATCATCACAGTATTTTCCAGCACTCCTTTTCTCGTCACGTGATTAAAGAACTTTGTTTATCTGTTTAGATATATATATATTTTTTGTTCAATGATAGTGTGAGAGTACATTTTATGTATGTGACCTACCTCTGGTTCTCCCCTTGCTCAATCTCTGAGAGCTTCTCCATCTCATGATCGATGTCAGCGCTCTGTTTCTGGACCTCCTGAAGCTTCTGTTGAGTCTGCAGGTAAATCTTGTGCAACTCAGTGTGCTTGGCCCTCACCTTGAAGAGGACAACTAGGTGTTATTTAAACAAAGAAGAAAAAGGCTTATAAAGTAAATTCATGATTTAGCAGTGAAACAAATTAATGTAATATTTCACAAAGTAACAAGAACAAACTTGTAATAAATGACACCAAATGAATAACAATATTGTGTTACCAGTGTCAAATGTGGACATAAACAATAAAAGGGAAAAGAAAAATCAAAACAACAGAGGTGAATGTCAAGTGATTTGTCTGTCGACTCTTCAGTAGCTAATGAAGAACAAGATGGAGCAATTGCGGGAATATCCCAGGGCAGTGATGTCAATTGTTTTTTTTCATTCATTCAAGAACAACATACCTCTTCTAGTTTACTCGACTGTAGTTCAATTTGTTTGCTGAGTGCTGCAGTTATCCTCTTGTGTTGCTGTACCCCTCCTTGCCTTTCTTGCTTTTCCATCTGCTCTATCTCAGCTTGCTGAAGCAGATCCAACCAAAGATAAATACATCAAGTTATCTGTATTTTATAGCTATTAACAAATGTTTAGAAAGTTATTCTTCCAATAATACAGTCTTCTTCTTCTTCTGTGTTTGTCGTACAGTTGGCACCTTGTAATTTGGTTTATAGCCAGTCTGTGATCTCAGTGCTTTTTGGCCTCACACATTTAATTTTGACAAACCCTTAATTGGTTGTCTTTTATGACATGTTTGTTAAAAGGAAAAAAAATATGGTTTTTTTTTTTCCTGCTCAAAATGGGGCCTCAGGACACAAACAGGGAATACAACAGTCAATTTACATGATTCTTATTTCAACTAATTACCTTTCAAATGTATTTTGTTTAACTTTTGGTTTTGTTTTTTAAACATTAAAAAAAACAAATTGCATTCATTATTTATTTGTATTTTTTTTTGTTACACAGAGTGTGACTATAATATCAGGTGTAGTTGATCAAATTTTTAGCATATTTGTTTCTTGTAATAACTGAAATATTTGAATAAAGCGTTTTTGTAATTTTTTCCAACTGCATAAAAGTAGCTTCTGTGTGTGGTACATGGTGATAAATGAAGTCAATTTTTTTTTCATACACAGTACTTCCCAGGACTTTACTTGGTTCCCATTTGGGGGCTGGATTGATATGGCAGCTAAGGTCATTATTGGAAAAATAAAAGTCAGGCTCCGTCGGGATCTGAACCCACGACCTTTGGATCCGTCTGCGAGCATCTAGCCGCTACACCACGACAGCTCCCTTTTAAAAACATACAATAGGTTATTTCTACCATTTAGACAGTAAGTGTTCAACATAAAATTTCTGAACAGAAAAGTCAATACAACAGATTTCTACTCTCAATAACAAAGTAAGTGTTCCCAATTATTTGCCTTAATAAAGAAAAGTTCAGGGTAATATTTTATTTTTACCAAAAAACTATAAATTTACCAGATTATTTCACACAACAAAATAATTAACAAATTATTTCTCTCAACGAAACTGTAAATGTTGCAGAATATTTTTTCTAAACAACAAATGGAAACATAAACTATTTCTCCAAATGGAAATTAAATACACAAAGGTATTTCTTCCATCAGTGTTTCTTCTTAATGTTGTAAAGCATGACCAAACCACAACTAAGCATATTTCTATTGTTCCTGTGTAAGCAACATAATCATTAGTCAGATTCTCTAAAAGATCATTTCACATCCAAAGATAATATATGTTAGTTTAACTGCATTGTCATCTTCAAAGAAAAATAACTGCCCACAAATAGGAAAGGATGAGAAATAAAAGGCCCATATAAAACATAAGCTAGATAATGAAACAAAGGAATGAAGAATTCAGAGAACATGAAACTTATTGTACACAGCTGGGAAAATGCACAGTAACTTCACTATATCAAATAAATGTATCAGAAGCATTCATCAGCAATGACAGTCAGTGCATGCTAATTATACCATGTTGTAACTATCACACATCAGAAAACATAAAGCAAATAATCTGAGATAGGCCCACTGTCATGTTCTTCAGACCATAGACTAGCAAGAAACTGTCATTCAATCATCAATATTACTCTGTGAAAGCAATGACATTTATGTTTGAGAAATTAACCCAATGCTTTCCCCTTGTCTTCAGCATCAACAAAGAGACTGACATTTTACATATTCCATTCTTTGTAGCTTTTCTCATATTTGATATACCAGCTGGGTTAATGTTGACAAAATTTCAGTTTTAATGTTAACCTGAGCAGCACATGGATCTCTTATTCTTTAACTATATGAAAGGATTCATCTAATATTTTTGATGACCTAAGCTTGGGTTAAATGTGTATCCTTTACAGGACATCGCAGAACCAACCCCAACAGCCCATGGCTGTTGTGTGGTTTTTCTAGGCAAATTTACATCCAGTAGTTTGCCATTGCTTTCTGGACGTTCAGCTTTCTTGATACCACTTTCAAAACCAATGCAAGGCGCACGGCCCGAAGATGGGATCGAACCATTGAACCTGGCATCCCGGCATTACGAAGCGTTCGCATCGACTTAGCCACAGAGCCGACACCTAAGTTTGATATAGCCTTAAATATGACCAGATGACACTGAAGGAAGTACAATGGTAGCTCAAAATTTGAACAAATTGGAATCTGCACAAAATTTTTCAAGTAAATTTTGTCTCAGAAACTGAGCACTGCCAAAGAAACCAAACACATGGCAGGTGCCAGCTAAAGTCACAAGAGCTTCAGCTATATTTGAACTATATTTGAATTCTAAGGTCCTACTGTAAAGGCAGCCAGTAAAATACTGAACTCATTATAGCGCTATGTCCACTACTGCTGGCATATACTGATTGGAGTTATATAGTTAACAATGTTTATGTTTATAACTGATCATATGTTTTCAAATCTTGCTGTCATATACTAATAACATAAAGAAAAAGACCTCTTCACACACCCTCAAGGTTACTGGGTATATGGTGCTAGACCTATAATTTAGTTGCAGAAAAAATCATGATGGCACATTCTGATTAAATGTAAACTCAATTTCAAGCAATGTAACTGGTTAGTTACATTAGATCAATTGTAGGAACCACACCATGCCTGCAATACATAAAGAAGCAACAAATAGAGTGGTTTGGCCACTTGATGCGAATGCAAACCGACCAACTGCCTCTACGAGCAAACAACGAACAGCACTACTGCCCTAGAGCAAGAGGCAGACCGAGAGTACGATGGATAGACAATATATCAGAGACCCTGAGGCAACACGGACTAACAACAACACGTGCAACACACCTGGCCCAGGATAGAAAACTGCGACTCGCCACTACGCTGTGAGGCAATTGTGGACAAGACAAGACAAGACTGGTTTGTTGTGTTAAACCATGTTTGCATATTTTGATTAAATGTATACTCCAACTCTATCACGTGCTAGTTAGTTTCAGTAAAACTGTGATGGCATTTTTTGATTATACATATACTCCAAAATGAAGCTTTGAGGCTGAACTCGAGGCTACGTGAAGGACAAAACTAGAGATAAGAGAGGATGGCTCAGGATCGAATTGAGTGGCAACAGTTTGTCTCTGCATTATGTGCATCTGGGCGCAATGAGGATTGATTGATATACTCTGTCACCTGCTAGTTAGTTACAGTAAAACCATGATGGCATATTTTGATTAACCCTATCACCCTAAGAACCCACTAAACCAACAAAACCGGTTCGGTCCAATCCCCTATAAATGTAAACTTTACTGATCTGCTATAGTGGCTTGTTTACAAGAAGCACAGCCAACAGCGCACTGGTATCGTCTGCCAGTCCAAGGTGGAGGACAAGGCATGACAGAATGTTTAGCTTCAACGTTACTCTTGCTTCTGACAGCAATTTGCTTATGCAGTTTTTACATGTGGACAGATGTCTACGGTTTCGCTGCCTGAGCTACTGAGTTTAGTGCTTGGTGCAGCTCTTGGAGCTGTGTTTTTTCCATGTGAAAACCCTTTAATTTGTGCAGTCTCGGAGCTGGAAGCTGGTTTACATGTAGACTGGTGAAATACCTTAAGTAATAATTTTACAATTGTATAGCCAACTTATTGTGACCAACTACTTCCTTCAACGACAAACTTTATTTATTGTGGTGACTGTTGGCTTTGGAGCATCTAGCAACTGCCATATGCACCTCGTGTGCATATTTCTGGATACTGCCAGGACTAATTGTCTGTTCACCAGTTTTACAAATGGGACAGTGAGAAATGGAGGGACATTTCATTTGGTTTTCACCTGCACAAGAACGGAGCAAGTATGGGATGACCCGACTGCAGTGAAGTCACTACAGCAAATGGGTTAAATTTCTTCTGTTTATCTTCACATTTTCTTGCCGTTCACTGGCTGTCAACTCTCTGTGTGTGTGTATGGGGGGGGGGGGGGGCAAAGGGGGAGCGGGGTTGTTCGTCCATTTCTGGACTTTAGTCTTATCCCAGAAATTGAATTTTGCATTCACGGACACAGATTTGGTTTATCTGTATGCATACTGCTGGTTCCATGGCTTTCAGACAGAAACACCCCAAATTCAAAGCAGCACTACTAATTAGTTGCCTTGTACGGGGACAGTAGACCAAGTCTACCCCCCCCCCCCCCCCCCCCCAAGAGTGAGGCTACGGGACCCATGTGGGGAAAAACTCTTCTGTCAATTACTGATTCAGTCAATCAAGTGAGGGCCCCCTAATACATTTACATACTATGCCCCAACAGTTTATAAGCTTAGATGTTAGTATCAGTTTTCATGTTGCTGAAAATACTTCTGGCCTTTCCTGTTGTTTTTTCATTTGCTTCTATCCTACATCAGTCGTGCTGTTACTGACAAGACATATTTTTTTTAAACTTAACTCTTTGAGTCCCAGGGGGGTTTATCATCAGAGGCCCAAGGGCTAGTCAAAAGAGATGTAAAATCGGCGCATCTTGCGTTCATGGGGCCTCTAGGCGGGAACCTATGAACGTATGATGCATTCCTTGGGACTCAAAGAGTTAGAGTATTTTCATTTCTTAACCCAACTCCGACTAACATTTATAAGAATAAAAAGATAAATTCTGAGCAAAACCTTACTTTTTGGGCATACTCTGTAGCCATCTTTTGAATTTCATGAGACTTCATGCCTACAATGGAACCAACAGCACTGGCCGTAACCTTACCCTGTGAGTCAAAAAAACAAAACAACAAATACAAGCATGTAGACACACATATTAGAATACTAAAGTTGTTCGCTTATAGAGAAGAGAGCAGAAATGTTAAAAATCATGCTGAGAAATAACTACCAGTAACATAAACTGAAGAAAGTAGATTTACAATTGTTGCATCTTTTCAAAAATACATAATTTTTTTTTTTTTTTTACATTTTACTACCATCAGTATCTACCACTTTGTTCAGGTGTTGCAGACTGAGGGGCTGTGAGCCTGAGGTTTTAGGGCAGCACTGCTAGTGCTGTTGCCATGGACTGTGCAGGTAAGAATGTTTAGATTTGCCCCCAACTGAAAAACTCCATCATCTCACCGGATTGTTGAACCCGGGGCTGGACACTGTAACCAGGTTTTCTTTTGTTTTCGACCCTTCAGTGCCAAGGAACTTCATCCACAACCATCTGTTCATCAAAAAAGCATCCTTTTTGCAAATTTCTGTAGCAACTAACTGTTCACATGATGGTGGGAGAGCTGGGCCCAAGCTCAGCTCTCTTGCTTTTGCATCTAGACTTGGGACTGGCAATGTGAAGATACCTGGCAATGTGAAGATACCAAGCCACTCACCTTGTATTTATTGAAATTATCTCGTCCAGTTTTAGCTTTAAACAATTTACTTTAACTGTTACTTCACCTCATTGTGTCCCACAGTGTTATAAAGTGAGTCCTTCAGTTCCAAACATTTGTTATTTTAAACAACAACTGCTCAGAAAAAGAGGAGTTAAAGAAACATATGCCTGGGACTGAAAGAGTAGAAATGATGTCACCACAGTAGAAATTGGCTGCCACAGAAACGTTAATTGCGGCCTTTGGTAACATTATTAGGTATACAGAAGCATATTTTTCTTACTGTTTAATGTAAACTTGGCAATTTCAATTCTTTTAATGATCTCCATGTCATTTGTCATTGTTTGACCAAAGTAGACAGTACAATAAATATTTCAATCTTTCATTCATTATCTGTTTCCACTTTTGCTGTTATGTCTTGTAGGGAACAGTTTGTGATTCACTGCTTGATGAACAGCACTGGCTACTGTCATTCCATGTGGATAAGAATGTCTTTAATGGCATCAACCCATCTTCTTCTTGGGTGTCATCTTGTTTTCACATCCGATTTTTTTTGGGGTGTAGCGGCTGCAGGGCTGTCTCAACGGCATTATGGGCCCCTGGGAAAATAAGTATCCTGGAACCTCTATGACATCCACTCACAGTAAATGGTCGATAATATTCAACAAATGTTAATTTTTTGACACATCAACTGGTGTTAAAACATCGACAGACTAAATCACGCACTATAAAATTACTATGAATTTCTTATTATAGCAAGCAATTGTAGAATTTCTTTTCACAGAATTGCTTTATTACTGGCTTGAAGTCAGTGGTCTCTGGATGTCATTTCCCGTGCACAGGAGTGAAAGCAAGTTTGAAAGATCGAGCCCCTTTGAGCTATGAAGCACATTTTTTATAAGTTTTAGTCTTAGAAAAGTACCATCTCCTGTACACCTGGTTAGCATGATGCTTATTGGGTGCTGTTTCAACATTCAGTAAAACATGTTTCAAAGAGTTTTTTAAAAACTGTCTGGACAGTGCTTCAGTGTGGGGAGAGTCTCACAATTTCCATTAAGGTTAGGTTTGTAAGGAATCACCTTCATTATGTACATGGGGGTGCTCAGCACAGTATACAAACTCTTAGCATTGGTGAGGATCAAAGTGCATGTACACCTGAATTACAATGTTAAAAATATTGATTGGGGTAGTTTTGCTAATTTATAAGTTCTGCCTTGATAGCAGCCTATGTGGACTGCTCTTTTTTGTGTGATAATTTATGTGCGCAATGCGCACAGCAGACTTTTAAGTTGTTTCCCTTGTCAGAGAAGGTTAATCCAGCCTTTCTTTCTTTCAAACTTGCTTCTTTGAACTGAACATACAACCTGAAGATTTTCCAATAGCAACATCACCACTATTTAATGCTGCAAACAATATGTAGACATACAAGGCACACTCTAGCCACAGCTACTAATAACACACACACACATGCTGCAATCAGGAACACCACAACTCACAGTGCTCTAGCCTCTTAAACAAATCTAGCAAAACATAAAAAAATCTAATGAAACAAACCTCTTGAGATCCCATGGCTGACATGCCACTCATAAGAGCTTTGATACGCTGAATGAAATCAATATTTACAAATTAGTTTCAAAATAGTCAATAAAACTTGTGTTTTGTTAAAATGTGTCTGAAAAATACAAAAAGTTCCTATTCATTTAACCGCAAACTTTTTCACTCCATGCTTCAAGTGATTATATGCCACCTTAAATACAGTTATTAATCCATATTGCACTCACCTTAAATGTAGTTATTAATCCATATTGCACTCACCTCAAATGTAGTTATTAATCCATATTGCACTCACCTTAAGCCAGTCTCTCTAGCGTAGTTGGCTAAACCGGATTGCGCGGTGAGCGGGTGACGAACTCCTTGTGGTCCGGGTTCACTCCCGGGGGTGGGCAGAAAAGCCACATTTCTCCCAGATTTACGGTATTTACAATGGAATCAAGGCCGAAAGGTTGCGATATCCATAATACCGAGCCTAAGGGTTAACAACTCATGGCTACTGGATACTAAAACAAACAACAAACAAACACTCACCTTAAATGTAGTTATTAATCCATATTGCACTCACCTTAAATGTAGTTTTTAATCCATATTGCACTCACCTTAAATGTAGTTATTAATCCATACTGCACTCACCTTAAATGTTGTTATTAATCCATATTGCACTCACCTTAAATGTTGTTATTAATCCATATTGCACTCACCTTAAATGTAGTTATTAATCCATATTGTACTCACCTTAAATGTAGTTATTAATCCATATTGCACTCACCTTAAATGTAGTTATTAATCCATATTGTACTCACATTAAATGTAGTTATTAATCCATATTGCACTCACCTTAAATGTAGTTATTGTATATCACTCACCTTAAATGTAGTTATTAATCCATATTGTCACCTTAAATGTAGTTATTAATCCATATTGCACTCACCTTAAATGTAGTTATTAATCCATATTGCACTCACCTTTATTAAATGTTGCACTCACCTTAAATGTAGTTTTTAATCCATAATCCATATTGCACTCACCTTGAAATGTAGTTATTAATCCATATTGCACTCACCTTAAATGTAGTTATTAATCCATATTGCACTCACCAAATGTAGTTATTAATCCTTAACCTTAAATGTAGTTATTAATCCATATTGCACTCACCTTAAATGTAGTTATTAATCCATAGTGCACTACCTTAAATGTAGTTACTAATCCATATTGCACTCATTGATTAATTAATCCAAGGCACTGTGTTATTAATCCATTATATGTTATTAATGTATGGGTGTGTACATATGTATGTATGGGTGACATGTATATCTGTAGTATGTATGTGTGCATGTATGTATGATTCTGTGTATGTATGAGTGTGTCTATAGGTAGTTGTAAAAGATTCTCTGTGTGTGCATGTGACTGTTTGTCTGTGTGTGTGTGTCTGTGTGTGTGTTTCTGAGTGTCTCTGTGTGTATGTGTCTGCTTGTGTATGGCTGAGTGTATTTACATGTCTGAGTGTATCTACGTGAATGTGTTTGTGTGTGTCTGCATGTGTGTCTTTGTGTCTGTCTTCGTTGTGACTGTGTGTCTGCATGGGTGTGTGTGTCTGTGTGTGTGTGCGTCTGCGTATATGTATGTGTGTGTCTGTGTATGTGTCTGTGTGTGTATCTGTGTGTGTCTGCATGTGTGTGTCTGTATGTGTATGATTGTGTGTGTGTGTGTGTGTCAGCGTATCTCTCTCAGTGTTCATCTATGTGAGTGTGTCTGCATGTGTCTGTTTGTGTCTATATATGTGTGTGTGTGTGTGCCTGTGTATCTGTGTGTGTGTCTGTGTGTATGTCTGCATGTGTTTGTGTCTTTGTTGTGTGTGTTTGTGTGTGTGTTTTTTGTCTGCGTGTGTGTGTGTCTGTCAGTGTCTGCATGTGTTTCTGCATGTGTGTGTGTGTATGTGGGTGTGTGTGTGTGACTGTGTGCACTATCTACGCGTGTGAGTTATGATTCACAGCACTCCGGACACATCTACAGGCGCCCCGATTCCCCTCTTAACATATTTATCAGCGCCGCACGGTTAATAGTACCAGTCCTATGTTGGTTAACAAGACTTTGTGTGCGTCTGGTGTGCTTCTCATGCTTTCCTGTGCCGATCTTTACTCCCAATTCGCGTATTCTTAGCAGTAATGTGAACATGTTGCTTTCAAAATCCTTAGAACGTCCTATCTCTCGAAGGGCAATGACAATGTCAGCTTTTTCATTACCAACAACGCCTGCATACCCTGGGACGAATATGAAGGTAACTGCACACACAGGAGAGTTTTGCAATGACTCAAACCACTGTCTGCGTAAACAGCCTGCCTTGACCCGCCGGATCATGCTCAAAGAATCACTCAGCACACACACACAGGAATAGTCCTGTGATTCTAGCCATATGAAATCTTGTGTCATCACCATCACCTCCATCGTCATGCTGCTGGTGGTCGTTGAGAAGGCACCGCTGGCTTCTTGAACTTTTCTGCCGTGTTTGTGTGCATGCATTTCACTACCCATATTTTTGTGTTTTTTCTTGATATTCATAAGATGCATATTCCTATTTGAACACAACATGCTTTATTGATAAAATACGACTGCTGTGTGAAATCCATATTTACAGCTCTGACGAAGAAACCAGGCACTTTAAAATGTGAAGACCATCGCACAATAAGTCTTATGAGTCACATGACTAAGATTTTACTGAGAATAATTATGAGAAGAATAAGAAACAAAATTAAACCAGAAATCAGCGATGAACAATGTGGATTTGTAGAAGGAAAAGGTACAAACAATGCCATATACATACTAAGGACATTGTCAGAAAGAGCTATAGAAGTAAAGACTGATTTGTACTTATGCTTCATAGACTATACAAAAGCATTTGACTGTGTGAAGCATGAAGAAGTAATCAAACTGTTAGAAAAATTAAACATTGATGGGAAAGATCTAAGAATAATAAAGAATGTATTGGCAGCAAACAGCAGCTTTAAGAATTAACAACTGTTTAGGTACATTTCAAAGCATAAAGAGGGGCTACGACAAGGATGTGTACTTTCACCTGATTTGTTTTCAAAATACAGTGAATATATAATGAGATCTTTAATTGATATGCCCGGAATTGTGGTTGGTGGGCACAATATAAACAATTTACGTTATGCTGAAGACACAGTCTTGATAGCAACAAGTCAGAAAGAATTACATGAAATGATAGACATTGTGGTGTTAGAAAGTGGAAGAATGGGCCTCAGTTTGAATAATGGGAAGACAGAAGTAATGGTGGTATCAAAGAAACAAATTATTCCTAAATGTGTAATAAAAGTCAATGGTGTTATTTTAAGACAAGTACAGAAATTTAGGTATCTGGGCACATGGATAACATCAGATGGAAGATGCATAACTGAAATAAGAAACAGAATTGGACAGGCAAAAACTGCATTTTATAAAATGAGAAACATCTTGTGCAATATATCCTTGTCATTGAGATTTAGAAAAAGAATTCTTGCTTGCTACAAACATCCAGTTTTAACATATGGATGTGAATCCTGGACAATCGGTAGGCAGGCCAAACAATTTTTAGAGGCCTCAGAGATGTGGTTTTACAGAAGAATGCTTAGAATACCTTGGACAGCCAAAAAGAGCAACCAAGAGGTTTTAAAAGAGGCTGGAGCCCGAAGACAACTTATCACTGACATCAGAAGGAGACAGTCATCAATTTTCGGCCATGTTATGAGAAGAGGGAAAATAGAACATGTTGTGACCACAGGAAAGATCTGTGGAAGGAGGGATAGAGGAAGACAACGAGAGAAGATGCTTGACAGTCTTGTTGCATGGCATGGAGGTGTGTCGGCACACGAACTGATACATGCTGCAGGAGATCGCGGATTATGGAGAGGCATGATCGCCCATGCCAGTCGGCAAGGCACCTGATGATGATGATGATGATGTGTGAAAGATGGGTGCTTCGAAGGGCTGAATGTCAAACGGACCTGCATGTCCAATTTGTGACCCTTTGAAAATAAAGTTTGTGCGTTTTTTCATTCGTTCTCCCTCCCACCTAGGTTGTAGACTCTTTCAGACTACTGTTCATTCATCTACTGATGTTTTTCTCCTATATATACCACTGTCTGCCTGCTTAACTGCCTTCATCATTTCCCTCTACTTTTGCTTTTATAACAAAAAATGTCAAGTTCGTTTTCTACAAGCCATGTGAATTGCACCATTTATTAGTAAATTAAAACACTCTACCTCTTCTTCAGCTTTAACATCCACCTCTTCTTGGTTATCTTTGACCAATCCTGCAGCAATTGCCTTTTTCTTGGCAGCCTTCCCACTATCCTAAAAGTGAATATAAAACATATAAACATTTACAAAATGACTGAAATTTAAGACTCAAAGTCTACTACAACAGATTCTGCCAACATATGTTTTTCCGTGTAAAAAAACCAGAGATATGTCCCTGAAATCTGGCACCAGAAAATTTTGCGCATGTACTCCAACGCTGCTAACAAAGAAGCAATCTGGCCTGTTCTAATCTCAATGAAGGCAAAATGTGTGCTATATGGGAAGATATGGACTGCATGATAGCTTCCAACAAGGCTACTGGCCTCCAAGTGTATATTTTCTGACAGGAGGATCAAAGAAGAAGACTACAAAGTTATACACAAACTATCTCATAGAAAAAAAATAAACATAAATAAATAAACAACAGCAAAATAAAATGATATAACGTCCAGGTCAGATTGTCACTTTCCTGTGTGGCTTCTAATGCCCTATTTGCGGATGAGCATAAATGCCACTTAATAAGCATGTCATAAAAGATGACTAATTGAGGTTTTGCTAAAACTGGACATGTGAGGCCAAAATATGCAGATATCACAGCCTAGCTGTAAACCACAACACAATGTGCCAAATGCCCTTTTAACTCTTTCAGTGCCAAAGAACTCACCATAAGTGCACTGATTTTTCTACATGTCATACAGTTCTTAACTTTGTCTGTTCCATTCCTGTTTAACTGAAACCCATCTGATCTTAGTTGTTGTGTAGACTAGACAATTGTGACAATAAAGCATACAGACTTTGAGGTGGGCAGTGCTGAAGTAAATTGCTTGGGACTGAAAGTGTTAAGGGCAAACAAAGAAAAAGAAGAAGCCCCTCACTTAATAAAGGAAACATACAATGACATGAAACGCCATGAGGGAAAACTTAATGGATTTGCTGTCCCTCCTATAACACTATTCATCCTGTGTTGTGTCGTGAACTGCAGACTCAGAAAAGGCTAAATGGCCTGTTGCCAGAGAACTTATGTGATTAATTGCATGTGCAACTACTGATCTGTTGTTACTGCAGCTGCCATCAATGATGAACTGCATTTGTACTTTCAGACTGTTTATGCTGCCATTTCTAACAGCTGCCTTATGAATTTAATGCACATGTACACTGTTGGATCTGCTAAGACTGCAGTCTAAAATTTTGTTTTTTTTTAAACCTAGGACAGTGATGGACATTATAAGTGGTTTTAGTTGGCACATGTACACTGTTGGATCTGCTAAGACTGCAGTCTAAAATTTTGTTTTTTTTAAACCTAGGACAGTGATGGACATTATAAGTGGTTTTAGTTGGCACAGGTATGGAGCAACTATGCGATGACAGTTTGCTATAAAGGCAGAACTACCGATTATTATCCTCCCATATTACTTCTAGTTTTTAAAAAAAAAAATTAAATATATTGTTACAATAATTAAAAATGTTTACCTTTTCATCTTTATCGACACGAGTGATACCATACTGTCTGGGGAAAAAAATTAAGTTCTTTTAAAATACTGTATTTAACAACACGCATGGTTATAATTTCCTGAAACTCTACCCTAAGAAACTAGGGGAAGAGAAGAAGAATCGGAAGAAATGTTGGAGTCTTCAATAGTTTTTATAAATGTCCAGAGGGTTGAATCTCTAGACCACCGAGCGATAAGAGAACATAAAGGGTATTGCTTCCATACAAAAGCCAGGTTGCTAAAAATAAAGAATCGCCCCAAGGAATAGGGACTCAGCATGTAATATTCCCTAAATTAGCTGTGCATGCACTGCAGCCAACTTCTTTTGTGAAGAGGACATTCATATTTTAAAGTCGTCAAATGAACCGTCAAGTTCTCTTATCAGTCTGTTACAGTCTCACAAAAAGTAGAATGTTAAATTAGGAATCGATATCATAACACTCGGGACACTCCCATGTGCATACCATCCCCATCATCAGCAGCAAGTAGAAAGTTTCAATTCCAATGGTTCCAGCAATTGTCTGATTGGTCTCACCTTTCCCCTGAGTTTTCAGTGTCGGCCAGGTCCCCAGGTAACTCCCCGCAGCACCATTCTCCTCAAACCATAATGAACTATTTGTGCTGCCACACTGTTCACTCGCTCCCAATGGGCCCTCACAATATCTAGCTTGTCATCTTCTTGTGTGAAGAGGACATTAATATTTTTTTTTAAGTGACACGCACAATAAACTGATCAAGTTCACTGATCAGTCTGTTAGTCTCACCAAAAGTAATAATCTGGCATTAAAAAATTGATTTGCACACTCAGTTTTGTACTCAGCTTTGCTAACCTTCCATATTCCAGTAAAGTGGACTGAACTCTTGTTTCTTCATCCTTTAATTTGTCTGCATCATGGCGCCGATAACGTCTCTGGGGTCTATACACATCCTAATGGAAGTCAAAATAATAAATTACAAGCTTTAAAATTTTACGGAAATCAATTGTAGAAAAGTTGACAAACACGATATGGCCGCATTGTAAAACAAAAAAGTGAGAATCTATGGTAAGTAAATGACCCTTCTCACACAAATGGTGCATCAAAAATATGATTCTAGGCTCAAATTTTATAAACAGCCATTCTGTGGGTGATGCAGTCAACATCACACCAACTGCCTTCATTTCCCAGGATATTAACTGGTACCTATTTCAAGCTGGCCAACCTGGAAGCCAAGGTCAATTTTAAAGAATAAAAATCCATTTTGATACGGATTTGAACCAAAGGCAGCCTTTGTCAAACATGAAGTGAACTACACAAAGGTAACAATGAGGAGAGAAGAGTTTATAGATCTCTAAGGGGTGATGTGAGCAACGTTTTAAAAGATTGCCCATCATTATTCCTTGTGAAAAAATAAAATAAAAAGACAAGTGAAACAGAGTAGTCTCTGCAAAGTCAACAGTATACCACGTTAGTTGCGTATCCTTTATAGGTCGTTGCAGAACCAATACCAGCTGCACCTGGCTGTTGTGTGGTTTCTCTAGACAAATTTACGTCTAGTAGTTTGCCATTGCTTTCTGGACGGCCGGCGCCCTGATACCACTGTTGAAACCAATGCAAGGCTCATGGTCCGCAGCTGGGATCGAACCCGGTACCCCGGCATTACGAAGTGTTCGCATCAACTTAGCCACAGAGCCAACCATCAGCATACACACACATTAAATACAGAATGCAGTTGTCAAAAGTGCCAAAATAAAACAGTCCACATTTAAAATTGCAGATAATAACTGATAGAAGTAACAGTCACAATAATTCAGTGTCTGCTAATGCCATACTGTGAAAAGCATGATCAGTTCTGTGGCAGCAGGCCACCCTCCATTTGCTAAATCTGCAGTTCCCAACAAAGCCCCCCCTCCCCCTTTCCACACTTTAAAAGTATTTCAAATTACTTCCACAGCTCACAACATCACATCATTCACTCAACTCAGTAGGTAGGTGGTGGAACTATCAAACTATCAAATAAGCTTAGTGAACTGAAAAGCAGACAAACCATTGAATAACCCCGACTTTACCTTAACACTGGACACGGCATCAAGAGCCTTGCCCTTCACAGCTTCAAATGATTCATCCTGGGAAAGAAACAAATGTATAAGGAAACAAAATTACTATCAACATTATCAAGTGCCTTCTTGACTGGTTGAGCGATCATGCGTCTCAACGATTTGTGATCTCTGACAGGAGTAATCAATTTGGTGCCTCCATCCCATGACAAAAGGCTGTTGAAAATCTTCACAAGGTTTCTTCTTCTATCTCTCTTTTCAGCTGTCACATGTTTCAGTTTCACTATTCTCATAATATGGCCAAAAATTAAGATTGCCCACTTGTCATAAGTTGTCTTCAGGTCTTTGCCTCCATTTAAAAATAAGGATTATTAATTTTGGCTGTCCATGGAATTTTAAGCTTTCTTATCTAAAAGCACACTTCTGAGGTCTACAAACAGTTCTGGATTGTCAGAGATTCACAGCCAAATGTTAATACAGGTTCTATACAGTATGCAAGAATTATTTTTTTATCTTCCTGTGATGGAGATTTATTGCATTTGATGTTCCTCATTTCATAAAATCCCAAATTACTATCATCCAGTGCTGGTTACGGTTACAAACAATACAATAAAATGTGCAGATACTTGCCTCCGGCATCTGATGATGTTTGCTGAACTGTGAAATGGAAAATGACCGGATGTAGTCGCCCATTTCCTCCCTGGTTTCAATTGCTCTCTTTACAAGCCACTATTTAAGAAAAAACAATGCATCTTGTTTCACAAATAAATTAGAATTTTAGATTTTTTATTTTTTTTATTAATGGTTGTCATGTTCTGTCCTCATCTTCAGCAGCCAGCGCAAAGTTTTAATACTGATGGTATGGTCACAATCTGGTGAAATGCCTTTCCTCTGAGTGTAGTGAGCCGGCCAGACCCTCTGGCTATTATGCGACACATTATGTTCACACTTTATACATTCACAATAGGGAAACATATGATATTTGTCTTCAGTTGTCTAAAAAGACCTCTTGTTCATCCAATAATGAGTTTGTGATTGGCTGATTAGACCAGTCAGAGCTCAGAAATTTATGTTCTACTAAGGGCAAAGGAATGTTGACTTGACATGCCACTGTCAATTTTTTGAATTTTGTTTCTTCTTCTACTTCATTCTATAAAAGGGTGGTTGGTATGTTGTATTGTGGTCTACAGCTAGACTGCAATTATGTTTACCTTCGGCCCAACACATTCCAATTCAGTGTCATGAGATATGCTTGGTTGGGTACAGTGGGTCTATTCCTTTCCCTCATACTTGCGGCCCCAGAATCCAAATGGTGAGATTTCTCAATTCTAAACTATTCCAAAGTCTTCTTCTTCTTCTTCTCTTCCACCTTGTACCTCATCGAAGTGTTGGGGGGAGATGTAATGTTCGTTGATGAGCTCTGTCAAGAGCACTATTCAGACTGATGTTTATTCCAAAGTCACCAGGCCAAAAGAGACATGACATGGGTGAAAAGCAGCAAATTCCAAATTTCCAAGGTGAATGTTACAGTACTTCTTTGTAGTTGTCACAGCACAGTGTGGATGCTTATTCTGACAGAGGTAGGAAGACAAAGAAAAGGAAGAAAACGACATTGAAGAGGTAGAAGACTAAGAGGTCAAATTAAAGGATATCTTCTTTCTTCTTCACGTTTCAGAGCTGTAAAGTCAGCACAAGGTATTGGTTGTTCATTCACTCCTGGACTTCAGTGTTGTTCCAGTACCTGAGTTTTGCATGCACAAACACTTTACAGATCTGGCTTATTTTTATGAAGACTGCAGGTTCCTCGCCTGTAAGACAGATGCACTCCGACTCTGGAGAAAACACCTCTAATTAGTCGACTCTCATGACAGTTGGTCTGTATCCCTCCACCCCCCCCCCCCCCCAAAAAAAATAGGGCTTCAGAGCCCCTATAGGGACATGATATCAAACACTCACAATAAGTGAAAGGTATGTAACCTCTTAGCACCAGAGATGTCTCTGCCTGACAGACGAGGAGTAAGAATAGCATGATTATGATGACAAAAAATTATGTTTTAAAAAAATTGAAAAATGAGAAGAATAAAACAGTGAAGCCAGTGGATAACAAATCTCAGATCTTTACAGAAAGTAAAGGATGTGCGACCTCTCAGGAGAAGTAACAAAAAGAGGTTGGTTATGTAAAACAAACACTTAACTTTCATCATCATCATCATTGTCCTGTTGTATCATCATGTGTCACATAGGCTGCTGGTCTATTCCTCCATTCATGTGTGATCTTTTTGACACTATGGATGGAATTCAATCCAGCACTGTTGGCCTCTTTTCATCAACTTTCATTTCAGGGTTTCTTCTGGATGTCCTCACCTCCTTAATCCCTTTATTTCCCATTTCCGTGTCTGTTTGGTGATTCTCTACTTGTTTCATATCAGGATGCGTCCATTTTAGCATCAACTTCTTTGTCTTATAACTGCTGCTACGAGTGGCTGCACATTTGAAAGTGTATACCTTTTAAAATGCAAGCCTTTATCAACTTCCTGAATGATTAAAAGAAAGAATCACAAGAAAGTATCTGCCTTACTTGTACAACTGGGAAGATGTGGATGAAATCAAGACCCTGAATCTGATGTGGTTCAATTCGATGTGGGCACTTCATTTTCGGGAGAACAGCAACAATGGACTCAGTCAGAGCACTGTTGGAGAAAGTTATATTAATGAAATTATATAATCTAAAAAAAGCCACATTGTTGATATACAACAGTCTGTTCCTCTCTCTCACTGCCCAATCATGAAGTGAAAAAAAGAGTACAGGCACTGGACACACTGAGAATGACAACATAAACAAACTCAACAGGAAGGAACAAACAATAATCTGCAGGCTTTGGACTGGGCACTGCATTCTTAGACAACACCTACACAGAAAAGGCATAAAAGTAACTGTCACCTTTGAATGCCTAAACTGACGGATAGATTCCCATTCCCAAACAGGTGCCACAGGATTTACCATTCTACATATGAAAGAGATTGGGGATCTGGTCCAGGGAAGCTGCAATTCAAGGCTAGCTGTAGGGGAGTAGTGGTGACTTCAGATGTACCATCCTATTTGTGACCCTAGTAGGAGTGAATGTTTAGCATGGCTGATTTTGGACACTGAAAAAAACCTTGCAAGAGTACGACTAAGAAGACATTTTTTTCAGCACCAAGCTTAAACGTTAAAAAAAAGGAGACCTCAAAACATATAGAGACAAGAATCTGTTACAGTGATTAACTATACAGAAACGACATGAGCTGAAACTATTTGCAAGAGATAACAAATAAAAAGTTTCATATGAACTTTCCTTACCAGCATAGGACTGTTAGTTTACACGTGGCTGATATAGCAATGTGCCCTAATTATAACTTCTTTGCTGTGTGAAATACTGTTGTTTGGAAGGGCTGAATGTAAGATAAGCCTGCCCAATTTGTGACTTTAAAAAATAAACTTTGTTCGTTCTTTCTCTGGAAATGGAATGGGGTAATTGGTATATACCCTGTTGGTCTGCCGTCAGGACTGAGATTTTTAAATCTGAGATTTTTAAATCTCAGGCTGGTATTGCAAACCTTCAGTTAGTAGCCAGAATGGGACAAACCAATCGATCGACAGGTATGAATTAGTTAAGGTTCTATGCCCCATAGGAAGAAAAGAGGCAGAAGAAGAAAGAAGAAGACAAATGGATGCAATGATCAGTTGACAGGTAGACAGACAACAAACAGGCACATAAAAAGATTAGTCAAACATTTATAATGATATAGTTACCCCATTTTGGGTGCAAAAGGGGGAGGGGGGTGCTCGCGCGTGCGTTGGGTGGGGGGCAGACCCAATGGCTCCTGACATGCATGTCATACAAGTCAACTAGCCATATTTCTTTCAAAATCAGAGTGCAACTGCCTGAAAGCTGAGCTGCCAACATTCTGCATACAAATAAGCCAGCTCTCTGAGATGGATGTGTCTTTAGAATTGAAGTTCTCAAACAATTTTAAAGTCCAGAAGTGACTGTGTTAATGATAGAGTAGATGTGTTAATGATAGAGTAGATGTGTTAATGATAGAGTAGATGTGTTAATGATAGAGTAGATGTGTTAATGATAGAGTAGATGTGTTAATGATAGAGTAGATGTGTTAATGATAGAGTAGATGTGTTAATGACAGAGTAGATGTGTTAATGATAGAGTAGATGTGTTAATGATAGAGTAGATGCGTTAATGATAGAGTAGATGTGTTAATGACAGAGTAGATGTGTTAATGACAGAGTAGATGTGTTAATGACAGAGTAGATGTGTTAATGATAGAGTAGATGTGTTAATGATAGAGTAGATGTGTTAATGATAGAGTAGATGTGTTAATGATAGAGTAGATGTGTTAATGATAGAGTAGATGCGTTAATGATAGAGTAGATGTGTTAATGACAGAGTAGATGTATTTTAATGACAGAGTAGATGTGTTAATGACAGAGTAGATGTGTTAATGACAGAGTAGATGTGTTAATGATAGAGTAGATGTGTTAATGATAGAGTAGATGTGTTAATGATAGAGTAGATGTGATAATGATAGCTCACATGTTGCTACAACTGTGCAACAGATAAAATCTACGTATAGATCAGATCTGTGTGTATGGCTTACATTTTCTGTCCAATGGTTGAATTTTCTTGGAACAGTAAGTCAACATCCACATCAAAGTTGCACGTTGTGATACACCAGGTCATTCCTCCAACAACCTGTGTGACATAAATGATATATCTATTTTTAAAACTTAAAAGTTGCACCGTCTCCACAATGAAGGCTGGCTCAGAGAAGCCAGTGTCTGACCCTCGAATCCTCATCACCATCATCATGTAGCAGGTCCATTGCAGAACATGGCTCTCATCACGGTCTGCCTGAAAGAAACTTGGTCTCTCACCAGCTCTCCCACCTCTGCACTTTCATATTCAAGGAGTCACTTATATCCTGTACCTATCTTCATGTAGGCTGACCTATGCCCCTCTTTCCTGGTACCATGACTTACGCTATTATTTTTTCAAATCCTTAATGGCGCCTGATGTGACCAAAATATTTCAGCTTCTGAGACAAGATGCTATTTATTAGCCAATCTTCCTTGATTTTCAGATCTTTTGAAATATCAGTATTTGTTCTCTTCTTTGTCCACTGTCATTCTGAGAATCTTTCTATAGCATTTTAGCTCAAAAGCCCCTACTTTCTTTCTTAAGGACTGGGGGAAGGTCCATGACTTACATCCATTTGCTGCAACAGGGAAGATGCATGCTTTACAAAATCTTAACTTTGATTTCCTTGCTGGTGCCTATCCATAGACTTAATGTTTAATCTTTCTCGTTGGGTATAAGACCATCATCACAACTACTTATCCTTGCTCTGTTATCATTCTCTCTTTTCCAGTTCATGTTTCTGATCTGCCTGGCCCAAGGGCCTCACAGTCATATTTTCCATTTTATCTTCTGTGATGAGTTTCTTGGGACAATAATGTGGTAGTTTCCCCTTGCTTACTCTTGTATCATTGGCCTAAACTATAAGAAAGGTCTTTTTCTAAACTTTCCATCAAGAAAACTGACTGCTAAAATGAGGTTTGGATCGTTACAAAGATGTTGGAAAATTGTGTAAATTCTCTGTGAGTTAAATTTTTCACTGTTTCTAATTTCTTCATGTGGATTAGTTCCATCCTCAATAGCTCTGAAAGCAAAAATTGATTGAGCAAAGCTTGTTCTTTGTTGATTAATCAAATAGCTTATGCCCTTAGTGAAATGTGCATGACTGCAGTTTCAGACATGAAGAGAGATATGGAGTCAAGCTTACTGTCTAATCATCTTTGAAATATGTATCTTGCATGGCATTTATGCCATCATTTCTCAGCAAAGCAGGCTAGTATCAGAAACTTCAGTTTAAGCCAGATAATCTGCAAGTTCCTTGTCTCAAACAACTGTATGGCCTGGCACAAAGATAAAGATTAGATGAGTCACCTGCTATGTTTTAACCCAATCATATCTGATGAAGAAAGTCTAGACTTCCTCAAGCACTGTACGTATACATTGACGTTCAGATCACGGTTTCTTCACAGGATCCCAAAATAAATTTTCATTTCATGAAATCATAATCTACGATGGTCACAGATCTTTCTCAAGATCACAGTCAATTGTGTGTTACCTGGGGTTATAAGAGAAACAGAGAACATTAATACTGTTAGGTTAATATGCATGTTACAAAATATAACGAAAGATAGTTGGTACAGATACAAGTTGAAGGTTACAATTGAGAGGATCAACGTCAATGCACTTGGTTTTCTCCCACATTGCCTGATCTATTTCCAAAGAATTATTAGCCACCTGTCAAGAGCCTCACAAAAAAGCAGGAACACTGTAGCTCCCCCCGTAATCCCCAAGAGGTTTCTAAAAAACATGCACTCATGAGCCGAACAATGCAGCCATGAAACAAACCCATGACCTTCAGAGTGCAAGGCAAACAGCTTAAACATTTAATCACGGAGATCCAGAGACTATTGGTATAAGATTGGCTAACTAAAAGAAAATATTACCTGTGAAATCCACTCAATCAAACAAAAAATCTGTAAAGGGCTTGGCGTAAATTCATAAGGGTGTCTTATAATCCACTCTGAGGTTTGTTTATTTTAGTATCCAGGAGAAATGAGTTTTTAACCCTTAGGCTCGGTATTATGGATATTGCAACCTTTTGGCCTTGATTCCATTGTAAATAATGTAAATCTGGGAGAAATGTGGCTTTTCTGCCTACTCCCGGAAGTGAACCCGGACCACAAGGAGTTCACCACCAGGTCACCGCGCAATCCGGTTTAGCCAACTTCGCTAGAGAGCCGGGTCCACTCTGAGGTAATAGGTAAAAAAAGCAAAACAGAACAGGACAGCTTAAGTTCAACTGGATATTGGAAACATCTTTTTTTTTAAAAATATAAAAATTCTGAGGATAATTAACATATGCATCCAAGATGAGCCTACTATGTGAATTATTACTCACTTTATCAAATGGTGACAAGCCTTTAATGCGTGCCCTGAAGTAGCCTGCTGCCAGAAGCAAATCAATGGTCTGCTGCAGTTTCACATTTTGTTCCTCATCTTCCCTTGTTTCTACCTGGGAAAAAAAAAATATTTTTTATCCAGATACTTTTTTTTTTTAAGACAAAGATTAAAATATCTAGAATCCGTGATTACCTGGCCTTGGCATGCCAAGAACACAGATCTGATGCATGTTTCTGGTGATCTTGTAGGGTGGTCAACAAATCACCAGCAGTGTTTATCATGAAACGATATTTAGCCTTTTTTTAACATATGAAAAACTACAGATTATATGAGTAATATTGACCCTGACACCGGACAAATAATCAATTCATTATCATGTTTCGCCTGGTGTTAGTTTTAGGAAAACAGAGAGGCCTGTGTATACTACATCCAGTATGAGAATGAAGGTGGGGGCAGTCTTCTGCTTGCTGAATGAGTGTACTATCCTCTCAATTTCTTAATGTTGTAATTCCAGGTTCTTCTATTCCCACTTCTTCTTCGACTACCCAATGTTCCTCGAAGTAAAGTCTTTCATTATCGATTTCTGATGTTGAAGTTTGAACAACGGATCAATATCATGGCACAAGAATAGTAACCATTAAGTGCTCTGTTTTACTTCTAACTAAGCCTGAGTTCGAAGAATCTCAGCTCAGTACAAGAACGTAGCATAGGCGAGGATCCTGAAATACTTTGGGTAGATTTTAACTCCAAATTTTGCCCAAGCAGTGCCGTTAGGTGCAATCTAATGACTGCAATTGAATCATGCCTCATTCGTGTCTGAACCAAACAAGAGATGTTTCACCTCTGCCAAAAGAGAATCCTGATGTCCTGCAAATCTGCTTATTCTGTCTCTTACATATTTGTCAGTTTTATGTGTTCTAAACAGCTAATTTGTAAAATTTGTCTACAGAATTTATATTCCAAAGCGTCAATCCTCCTTTCCATTTCCAAAGTGAGAGTCCAACTCTGACTTCTGTATAAGAAGAAAGATAATACCAGTGATTTGTAAATGCTGACCTTTATTGTAATGCTAATTTTGCTATTCCACATCGTATTTACCTGGGATATCACAGCTGTTACCATACCAAGTCTTGTCCTGATCTCTTTGGTACAGCTGCCATCATTACATGTGTGGGAGTCGAGGTATTTAAATGTTTCAACTTCTAGTTTCTTTTTGTGGTTTGTCCGTATGTTGGCAGGTTATGTTGCTTGACTGTCATGGCTTTTTACCAGGTATCATGCTTTTCTTGGCACTAATTTCCCTGCCATATTTACTATAGGCTGTTTCTAGTTTTGTAGTAAGTTCTTGGAGTTCTGCTACAGAATCAGCCATGAGATCGACTGTGGTGTTGTGAACCAGACTAGTTCTATGTCTCATTTGGACTGATATATTTTGTGTAATGCTCCCCTGGCTAAAAACAATACGCCGTACATAACAATCTTGAGACTAAGTTAACAATTGGAAAACATGCATTATAAGTCTGCCTTACAAAATTGGATAATTAATATTCCTGCTTATAAACAATGAAAAGACTTGAATGAGGTGCAAAGGACCTGTATATTATGTTATCATGAACGATGTCACTGCACAATACACATTTCTATGCATGCTCAGCCCTACAAATCAGCAGCCACTCAAAGGTAACTCTACTGATTGTTCCATGAGGAGTTGGTTATATCATCTCTTGTCTTGGCTTCAGAGGACTCCTCCTGTTTTCTTTTTTTTGCCTGGGTCAACCTAGGAGCCAAGGCCATTAATTTTTTTTTTTAAATCTGACTTGATGCGGATCTGAACCCATGACTTTTGGGGCTACAGGCAAGAGCTAGCTGCCACACCAGGAGGTATGTTTTTTTTTTTTAAATTTTAACAGCTCCAATCAGACCTGCATTATTTTTTTCATAGTTGTGTGACTAATCACAATAAAGATATTGTTTTTTAACTCTTGACTTTTATTTTATGAAAACGTGCTTACGGTTAATGGGTCGAGAGCATATATATACTAAGGCTACCCTCTGAATAACAGTCCCAAATTATCGAGGCCGAAAATATACCCTAACAGGGCCTCAGTCACGTGTCAATTGCGAACTTCTGGCAACTTAAATTGCGCACTTCCAGCGACTTCCACCACCGCCAAGAGTATCCCTAAACTACATGGCTGGGACTCACGAGCAGCAGCTACCGCATCTCCTGCGTCGCATTTCCTTGCTCATGAGTCCCAGCCATCTAGTTCAGCCCGGCGGTGGCGGTATAGTCCCCGGAAGTATGCAATTCGGGGGTGGCAGTATAGTCCCCGCAAGTGTGCAATTGACACGTGACTGAGGCTCTGTTAGGGTATATTTTCAGCCTAGATAATTTGGAACCGTTATTCGGAAGATAGCCAAGATATTTATTTTAACTTTTGAGTATTATTTTATGAAAAAATGTGCTTACAGTTAATGGGTCGAGAGTATATATATTAATATTGAAATATTAGGTATCCAATAATGAATGAGAGAGAACAGAAATAAATTTTCTTTAAAAAAAAATCATATTTTAATAAAATAAAGCTTAAAAATTAATTATGTGAACAGATGCAGTGCAATCAGCTAATTGTTGGCTAGACTTGATCATGTCTATCTCTTTTCACATAAGAGAAAAGAAAAAGAAGTTCAATAGTAATGGAAATAAAAGTATAAAACAATGAACTCTTAACAGTCAAGTTTTGTTATTCAGGGGGCGTTAACCACAAAGACATCAGTCAGGCACAGAAGTTTAAATAGTTTATTTATTTTCACCACGACAAATGTTAACAGCAGCTAGAAATTAATCACAAAATTACTTTATAAAATTTCTCTCACTTCAACTTTGTTCCCATCGGCATCTACAGAACCGTACTTGTCCGAACCTGACACAAGTCTACGAGTGAAGACATTTCCAACAACACTCGCCATCTTGGTTGTATCCATATACCGGATGTGAATCAGTGTTGCCACTTTTCTTTGACAGAAAACATCTAGAAACAGGTCAAAAATTATTTAGAAATATCTAGATTTGCGCGGGAAAACACCGAGAAAAAACATCCAAAAGAAACAGTCATAAATTACATTGCTATTGAAATGACCTACCCTGTACAATTATGTCCTCATCTTCACTAAGTCTGTCTCACAAGATCCACAGGATAAACTTAGCTTGGATGATGAAGTTGAAGCTTCAGATCTAAAATGACTCTGGTATGCTTTAGCTGTTCCAATTTCTTTTAATACACAATCAGAGAGCTGATAAGTTGAACAGCATTTTCCTACTCTAATCAGTCCAAATTTTTTCGTCAAGATAGCATTTAAGAGGTCAAGTTTCATCCTATTTCTTAGAATTTCTTCAGCATTTGAATGGGTAGGATCATGACAGACATGACACATTCAAAGAGCTTACAGAATGGACTGATTCCCGAGGCATCTTTAAATTGTTTTTCTTGTTTCTGTTATGTTTGTCCAGTCAACCCAATTTATTTTGGTTAACTGGTATTCTGCTTCCGCCACACTATTATCAGTATCCCCTAAAAATTACATAACTTTAAAAAATGTAGGTATGTCCTTTACTGGCTCAAGTATGTTGCTCATAGTAAAGAGTGAAATATTTTTCAATACATCTAGATTTTCAGGAAGTCTCTGCTTCAGTTGGTTGAATAATGAGATAAGCAAATCTTGACAGCGTTTTCTTAAGTTGTTTTCTTCATTTTCTGTTAACAGTCTTTTTGTTTTTAAATCATACATTTTTTATTCGATTTGATATCCAAGGTGTGGCTTAGGAGCAAAATAGCTCTCTATAGTGCAAGTGAGCAAATCAGCTTTAGAAGTTGGGAACACCGGTCTTTTACCAACTGATACCACTTGAGTGAAATAGCAAAGTGAGATTATCAAATAATTTAACTTTGTTTATAAATTTTGCACTTTCATGAGAGTAGGTTGTAAAAAGAGAAGGAATGCTAATTTGTTTTCATCACTGTACATTCAATATAGTATTTCAGCTGTGTAGCACTTTTTCACTTTGTCTTGTTATTTCGAAGTGTGTCTTTATCTCAAACCATTGGTTCACAATTCTTTCAACAGCTGGTTGAATTGATAACCATCTAGTTTTGCAACCTGACAGAATTTACAGTGGTGCGAAACCATCTTCGCGGAGGTCGACCCCTGTCTCATCTTCCGCAAACTGCACCCTTCATCATCGTCTTTTCCAAGCCACCATGACGTTTGATGTGGCTGAAATACTTTAACTTTCTAGACAGGATGCTGTTTATGAGCCAGTTCTCCTTGATGTTAAATGCGTGTAGAATGTCAATGTTTTCCCTCTTCTCGATCCACGGTATTCTGATAATTTTCAGTAATATTTTAATTCCAAAGCTTCTATAATTTTTTTTTAAATTTACAGTGAAAAATGCATGATCACAAGATTTTTACTTTAACCAATTTTCAGGTGCTGTGCCATAGGTTCTTTATACTTCTTTTACTACAAACTTCTTGTATGGTCAGTCTCTTAACAGTCACAGATAAGATAAGGGGTCACCAAGGTTCGTGGGGCCCGCGGCCATGTGCCCAGTGAGATCATGCGTTAAGACGACCATGGCTATTATGCCTTGCCACAATCTGCGATCTTCAACATCATGTATCAGCTCATGCGCTGACAACGCTCCCTGTGTTAAGATGCCTCGCCACAATCTACAATCTTCAACATCATGAATCAGTTCATGTGCTGACAACCTTACCTGCCTTAAGATGGCCATGGCTATCATGTCTCGCTACAATCTACAATCTTCAACATCATGTATCAGTTCATGCTGACAACCTTACCTGCCTTAAGATGGCCGTGGCTATCATGTCTCGCTACAATCTACAGTCTTCAACATCATGTATCAGTTCATGTGCTGACAACCTTACCTGCCTTAAGATGGCCATGTCTATCATGCCTCGCTACAATCTACAATCTTCAACATCATGTATCAGTTCATGCTGACAACCTTACCTGCCTTAAGATGGCCATGGCTATCATGTCTCGCTACAATCTACAGTCTTCAACATCATGTATCAGTTCATGTGCTGACAACCTTACCTGCCTTAAGATGGCCATGGCTATCATGCCTCGCTACAATCTACAATCTTCAACATCATGTATCAGTTCATGTGCTGACAACCTTACCTGCCTTAAGATGGCCGTGGCTATCATGCCTCGCTACAATCTACAATCTTCAACATCATGTATCAGTTCATGTGCTGACAACCTTACCTGCCTTAAGATGGCCGTGGCTATCATGCCTCGCTACAATCTACAATCTTCAACATCATGTATCAGTTCATGTGCTGACAACCTTACCTGCCTTAAGATGGCCGTGGCTATCATGCCTCGCTACAATCTACAATCTTCAACATCATGTATCAGTTCATGTGCTGACAACCTTACCTGCCTTAAGATGGCCATGGCTATCATGCCTCGCTACAATCTACAATCTTCAACATCATGAATCAGTTCATGTGCTGACAACCTTACCTGCCTTAAGATGGCCATGGCTATCATGCCTCGCTACAATCTACAATCTTCAACATCATGTATCAGTTCATGCTGACAACCTTACCTGCCTTAAGATGGCCATGGCTATCATGCCTCGCTACAATCTACAATCTTCAACATCATGTATCAGTTCATGCTGACAACCTTACCTGCCCTAAGATGGCCATGGCTATCATGCCTCGCTACAATCTACAATCTTCAACATCATGTATCAGTTCATGCTGACAACCCTCTGGGCGTTGAGATGGCCATTAACATCGCCATTCAGGCAGATGCACTCCAGCTTGGTAGAAAACAACCCTAGTAAATCGTCTTTTACAACATCCTTGTTAAGTAGCATTGGGTCTTCCCCACCCCCCCCCCCCCTCCATTTCCCTTCTTTACATCAACAAAAACATGCACAACAAAAACATTAGAAACAACTGGAGAACAAAAAAAAAACATTTGAGGGCAGAATATGACTGACAAAATGTCTATGATCATCACCGATTCTGAATAAGCTACTAAAAACAAAATACATATCTTCAGTCTCTGTAAACAATGTCATTTTTCTATATAAAATACACTGTGAACATTCTTTGCTAGGGAACTCTACATTCATCTAAAAGTGTAAATAAACATAAACAAGTATATTTTCACAATATGCGACATCAACATTGGGGGGGGGGGGGGGTGTAGCAACAGATTCTGTTCAACAACAGTAAACATAGATATACAACAATAGTGAACATAGACATACAACAATATATAGTTAAAATAAAGTTAATAGGATTTACAGGGACTGCCAGATTGCTGAGCATTGACCAAAGTGAGTTCAACGTTCAAGTAATCGCAGTTACTACAATGCACGTGCCCAGACCAAAACAAAAAAATTAAGGCAAATTCTAATAAATTACATACATTCATTAATTGGTGCCTGCGCAGAATAGAGGGAATTAAATGGTATGATAGAATAACTAATGTAGAACTTTGGGAGAGAACTTAACAGGCTCCAGTGGACCAAGAGGTGAGGAAAAGACGCTGGCGTTGGATAGGACACACAATGAGAAAACGGGAGAACAGCATAACTAGAATGTCTTTGCATTGGAACCCACAGTGGCATATGCATCAAGAAAGGCCAAAAAACACATGGAGAAGAGAGCTGGAGAATGAAGTTAGAAAGATGGGGAGGACATGGGGAGAGCTTCATGTAATGGCGAAGGATAGAACGACTTGGCGTAAGTTGGTTGAGGGCCTATGCTCCAGTGGGGTAAAGAAAGGGTGAAGAAGAAGAAGAAGAAGAAGAATCAAACTGACACTGAAAGAAAAAAAATCTATAAAATATCTAACTCCAAATAAAAAACCCATCTAGAATTACATCTACCATCTAGACGTCAAAAACACCATCTAGATAAAGGGGGAAACATCTAGATCTGGATGTAAAACATTCAAAGTGGCAACACTTATGTGAACTACGACTAGAGAATTATCACTATCATCAACCTGCGCAGTGACAAGCAGGCGTAGACTGTCATGACCTGGCACCATCAAAGGTCATGACTGTGATCTTTCCCAACCCACGTCATGTGGTTAAAGCGGTCTTAGTATCTTTGTGTTCCCCTTGCTGATTGTCAGTTAATTATTGGTTGATATTACTAATGCCCTTAGAGAAATGGGAAGGATAGAGAACTTTGGGGATAGTGAATCCACAACACTCGCCAGAATGGCAGACTTGGGAATTAAGATCGGCATAGCAAAAAACGAGACGCACACCAGATACACCAGAGGACTAGTTAATCGACATAGAACTTGTACTATTAGCCATCGGACGTTGGGGTTCATACTGAGGGGAGGATCTGAGCACATATGAACATGTCCGGAGTGCTATGAACGAACGAACGAACGAACTTTATTTTCAAAGGGTTACCAATTTGGCACGCAGGCCCGTCTTACATTCGGCCCTTCCAAACACCCATCTTTCACACTGCAGCTGTATTTTATCAATAAGTATGTTACATATATATATATATATATATATATATATATATATATATATATATATATATATATATGTGTGTGTGTGTGTGTGTGTGTGTGTGTGTGTGTGTTATATGATAACCTAGCTAACTAACTAACTATTGGTTGATAAATCTTAGTTAAATGCATTAGAAAACAAATATCTGGGGGAAAATTATGGAAATAAAATGGGAAGCATTCAAGAGGAGTGAAAATTCAAGAAATAAGAGAAATGTCTGGGCAATCACTAGTGTCAACAGTTATAAAACCCTGAAAACCTTGAAGATAATGCTACAGTAGACATATCCTGTGAAGAAGTCAGCAGAGAATCACCAAACAGGCATTAAAGTGGGAAATAAAAGGATTAAGGAGGCCCGAAAGGAACCTAAGACGACCTTTGATGAGAGAGGCC